CCCCAAAACCCCAAAACCCCAAATTGCAAAATTAGTAAATATTTTATAATACTTATGATTAACGATTAAGATAAATTCTTATTAGGAAAGTCCTTTATTGTAGTATTCATTTCTATCTGTCAGATTGATGTTACGATTACTCAAGAAGGAACATAGATTCTTTTTATTTTTTCTGAAAGTAAGCATTGAGTAAAGTAGGAGTACCCATAAACAGTTGAGGAAACATCTTTATGCTTTATAATCCAGGAGTCTTTGACTCTTTTTTGAATGATACTCGCTTTTCGCTTTTTCTACTATCTCTTGTCTATATTGCCTCGTTGTTAAAATCTGAGAAAGAGTCATCTTTTTAGGAGGACTCCTTCATGTTATTTGCTTAGTCTATTAAGAAATTTCCAATTATACTCTCTCGCATGATAAGATTATTATTCATGTGATGAGAATTACCAGACTTGCTGATATTATTGTCTTTCTTTTGGTTGTTATTACCACCAATATTTCCCTAATATCCTATTCCATGAGTGAATTAAGATTTAATAGGATTGTTATGACTATGATTCTAATGACTAGATTTCTCTGAATTTTTATTACTTTCATTCCCTGAAGATCTCTTGGAATTACCCTAAAGACTGCGCTTTGTTATACTCTCAGCGTCTCGTCGCTATTATTAGTTATTTTCAAGTATCACTACCGAAGCTTTAGGTTTGTCTGATTGATTTTATAATAGCTTTAAATTCATTATTTGTTAGTTGTTTATTTCAATTGCTGAATCTTGTCTTGGCCTCTAGACTCTTTGATAGTTAACATTGGCAAAATTTTCAAAAAAATCTCTATGACCTAAATCATACGTCATCTAACGAGCAGGCCCTTTTTATGGTTCGATAATATTCAAATTGGACATATCAATCCTGAAGTTAGAACTACTCAAATCATGTTATATCTCACTTAAATCTAGATTTATTGGACTCTTAATGCCAGGTTTCATTTATAAAAAGGATGTTTAGGTAGTATCTGTAGGCTTTAGATGAAGGAGAGGAGGAGATTAAGCGCCATCTGGAGAAAAGATTTGATTCAAATTTTTCCTTGATGATGGAAGGACCTTCTTCTATTGATCTTGCTTTTATTATTGCATCAGATTAGTAGATTGCTATAGATTATCAAGTTTTTCAATTACTTGCATCAGTAAAGTATCATATTATTGTTAGTTATTGTTCGAGTTTTCACAAGATGTAAAAGCAATATTACTATTTTTTTAATTATTGATAATTTCATTTTGGTTTTTATCATTTGTACTATTTTAAGGCTATTAATCATTCATTGTTGGAGAACTAAAGTTCGAAGGTGCTATTCCTTAGATTGTTACTGTATTTTTAGAATGCTGATTCTCTAATAGTACTTCAGGTGCATTTAAAGTCTATATTTCAAACTGATTAGAGTATATTTATCTTTCAGATTCATTGACCAGAGGCTTCTCAAGATTATCCATCCAATTTTGCTCATCAAATGAAAACTAGTTAAGATCATTGAATTCTTATTGTTATTTTTGTGGTTAGATATTTTCTTATTAGTTGGTGTTTATCCCAAGCATTTTGATAATATCTTGCAATTAATTTACTCTAACCTTTTCTTTCAAGGCTTCATTTTCGAAGTGTCTCTTTTCTTTTTTCAGTTCTTTGTTTAATAATTTCAAAACACGACGATCCTCTTCTAATTTTTGATTGTTTTGATTCATTTAGTAGAGTTCTGTCTTTACGTTATTAAGTTACCCCTCAGTATGCTTCAAATTAATTTACAGATGTTGATTTTATAAACTTATATCGGAAAACTTCGACAAATACTCTATATAAGGTCTTGTTGAGTTAACCAATTCGTCGAGCTTATCTTGAATCTCTACTAACATCTATTCCTTTTCATTGCCTGTGAGTTTCTTAGCTGTACAAAGCTCATGTCTCAAGTCAGATAGAACTGAATCATTTAATGTATCAAAGACTCCCTATGAATTTTCCTTTGATTTATTCAGATTGTTGCACTAATTCTAGCTTTCTGAGAGGTTATTTTAATTGTGATTTATAGTACTAGAATTAATGTTATTCTTGGTAGGGGTAATGAGGGGAGTTGCATTGCTCATTTTTCTATCAAAATTTTTGTCTTGTCGTTATGAATCTTGTATATTGGAGTTGAAATTACTCATTTACATTTTATTGGGTGTTGTACTCTACAGCATTTACTGTTTTTAAGTTTAATACTTTCTCTTAAGTGAATGATATTCTTTGTCCTTTTCGATAAGTTAGATCTTGAATGAATCTCTTTCTTTCTCTAATAAACGATAATCCTACTCTAATCTATATGTATTTTTTGTAAGTTACCGAATGTCTTAAATTGATTTCAGGTATTGAAATGAGGCAAGAGTATTATAATGATAATTCTTACTTTTCAAGTTCAAAGAATGTCTTCTATCTCATCATCTCTTCATTAAATAACCGATCTCTGTAGTCCTTTAGCTAAAGGCTTAATAATTTTACTTAGTCTTTGTAATTCATCTAGGACAATTTATCAGTATTGAATGAGTTAACTTACATAATTTTAAGCTTAGGAACCACCATGAATACTGTGTTCATTCATCGATCTTTGAGACTAAAGTCCCTCTATCATTTAATTTATTTATTGTTGATTAAATCTTTGAGATTCCTAGCTCTATGATAGATTGCTATCTGAATCATAATGTTATTTGAAGCTAAGACCCTGTTAATGTTAAGCTTGAGTAAAATATAAAGAACATACCGATAACTAATTGTCTAATTTGTGCTTTCGTTTCATAAATAATTTATATTTTAAGTAAAAAAAATATAATAGCAAAGACACTCATTTAGTCTAGATATGTATTGTATTTTCAAATTATTTATCACTATTTAAATTTTTATAAATAAAGCTAGGCGGGGTTTTGGGGTTTTGGGGGCCCTAGATAATGAGGAAACTAAATAATTC